AAAAAAAAAAAAAAAAAGAAGAAGAAGAAGAGGGAAACGAGAAGAGTTTAAATGTTAAACTTGAAATTTAAACTACATATAGAGGTGGAGACGGTAATCTCTCAAATACTATAGCCATTCACGTTCCAAGGATGGCTTATGTTGGGTGGGAAGACACCATATCTCTGATTGAGAATACTCCCTGGTTCCAAGGATGGCTTATGTTGGGTGGGAAGACACCATATCTCTGATTGAGAATACTCCCTGGTTGATACGCGTAGATATCACTGTTGAAGTTGTCAATGCCATTGCCATGCATGTTCTGCCTGTAAGAGTTCATCATTGTTGAAGCTGGATAATTGTAACGGTAAGCCTGCATGTCATTCATCTCACTGAATTGCCTTGGTTGATATCCATAATCCCCCCGAGCAGTATGTAAGTTCTCTAGTCCTAGTCCTTTGCTTTTCAAATCAGCAAAATGGGAATTTACATTTTTGAGACCTTGGTTTGGAGCAAAACTAGGATTAGTGCTTCGGAGACCTTGAAAATCAACTATTGAATTTCTTCTACCAGCTTGTATACTTTGCAGATTTTCAAATGGGGAAGTTATTCCAAAATCTGCATTGTTAGTGATGTTTTCCTCCTGACTAAAATATGGATAATCCATGTTTCCTAGTGCATACAAGTTTTGGTTTGTTTCACCTGTGAGGGAGCCAATGCCGATACTCCGGTCCAGAAACTCATTGTTGCCCCAGTGATCGAAGCCTCGTTCAGTAGGGGCAAACATAGGCTTCATCTTGGAGGTTCCAAGAGAATTGTATGAGCTGTGCATTTGGTTTTGGTGCTTGATATTATTGAGCCAGTTAAGGAGTTCCGGGTTCTGAGTCTTCTCATAGTCACACCAGTTTAGAGCTCCCTGGTTTTGGTGATTGTTGTTATCATTGAACCTGTTATAGAGTAGTTGTATTTCTTGGTTTTCTAATGGGTTCTCTGATAAAAGCTCTGCATGTTTCCCTGATTTGTTTAGTTTCTTGATCAGTGTTGCAGCTTCCACATTACCATATACTATGACCACTTGTTCTTCGACATCCATTTTCACTTGATAAACCCCTGAAACCAAATGTTTTAGCGGTAATGTAAATGATGTCTCTTTCTAAAATTCTAAAAATATAAACTTCCCCTGCCCTTTATGTTGAAAGCAAAGAAACTGCTTATAGGTGGCGAAAACGATATGTACAGGTTGGAGAAAGAAAGAGGTAGATGTTATAGGTGAAAAGTAAGTACCTTCAATTCTTTTAAGCAGTTTCTTCACCTTCCGCATGCACCCATGACAATGTATCTGAACTTTAAGAACGTAAGTCTGTAAACAGAAGAAAAAAATGAACACAAACAAGTAGTTAAAGAAGACAGAAGACAATGGTAAAAAGAAAATACTTAGAAAAAAGAAGAGGAGGAACTTATGAGAACTAATTAGCGAATGACCTGAATTCTCACAAACTCATATTCATGGGCAGTTGCAGACATTTTTCAGCCTTTAGTTTGTCCTCTTTTGTCAAATGAAGTTTGAACTACTTGTTCCTATTTTAAGTCTTCCTACTAACTTGTCTCGGAAGGATCACTCTACCAGTGGCTAAAAATAAGCCACAGTTTGTACTAGTAGAGTGGCAGAGAAATGCAGGCACCAAATACATGACCAGAAACAAGAATATGAGGCACTATATTTCTAGCTAGTCCTTTCATCTCAAATACAAAAACAACAAACCCCCAAAAATGTCAGTGTCTGTAGTGATTTTGTGCTCTTTACACAGAGAGAGCACCCCCCCCCCCCGGGGGGGGGGGGGGGGTGGGTTGGGTGGAGGGTGTAAGAAAAGTGTGATTTGACCAGTTGAATAGTACTTCAGGGAAATGAGGATTGACAGTTGAGATAAGGCAGGCAGCAGAGCATCCTTCGTTTTTCCATTTACAGGTAAATGCTGTAGTAAAGATTCTTAAGCATGACAATGTGTGTGGGAATACAGTACTACTACATGATTTGATCGTAGGCAGCTGCTTCAGCCACTTTGCTTCTTTTCAGCCTTCTTCCTGCTCATGGATTCCCTCCCTAATTAATGTTCAAAGAATTCGAAAGTGTACACCGTCTAGAATACACAGCTCTATAATAATATATAATAATATTGAGTTTAAGTTTTTTGCAATGATAATGTAAGTTTTTTATGTATAATAGGTTAGATATAGTAACCTGAAAAATAGAATATTGTAATCTATATAACAAGTTACTAAATTACATAGAGAGTCCGATCCAGAATTTGAAGTTTATGGATTTATATTGTAATCTCAAATTTATATACAATAATAATTGGGTTCACGGCTAGATATATATAGATATTTAGTGATTTTTTAATAGAAATACAGGGTCTATGCAAAATTTAATGGATTCTTGAAAACCCATATACATTAAGAGATGATGTAACAAATTTTACATTATGTATAGCTTAAACTCCTGATAATTTATACAACATTTGTTTTTTTTTTAACTATCATGACAATATTTTGTCTCTCTACCTCTCGCAGGATAGGGGTAAGGTCTGAGTACATCCCACCCTTGTTAGATCCCACTTGTGAGATTATACTAGGTATATTATTGTTGTTACTATCATGACAATATTTTGAGAGGTAGTACCATTTTAGGATTTTCATTTTTCTTTTGGGATTCATGAAACCCTTTGCTTGCTTGGCCTCCCAAAATGGTCCATCTTGTGCATTTGTGGACATCCAGTAAAATTGGACCAAAATATGATCCACCTTAACCACTTTGCATGAGTAAATAAGGGCCTGAAATCCTTAGCTTTGTTCTACCAGTTTGACAATCTTCTGAAGAAACTAGATTGTCAATATATACGAGTTCAGTCATGCATTTAGGCCTAAAATTCGTAAAAATAGTACGGACTAGCCAGTTTTCGGATTGGTAATTCAAAAATAGCCAGCGTTTGCAAAGTCATTAAAAAATAGCTACTATTTTGATGCAACACGGACCGGTCCAGCATAATATACTGGAGATTTGTGCACCTGTGTATGAACTTCCAGCATATTATGCTGGAACTCCAACACGCGGAAAGTTCCAGAATAATATACTGGAGATTTGTGCACCTGTGTATGAACTTCCAGCATATTATGCTGGAACTCCAACACGCGGAAAGTTCCAGAATAATATACTGGAGATTGGAGCACCTGTATGAACTTCCAACATATTATGCTGGACCGGTATATTGTACTAGAACTCCAGTATATTATGCTGGAATATTTTCCGAATTTTGAACAGTATTTTCGTTTAGATTTATCTTTACATGAAAAGTGGCTAAATTTCAATTACTTTTGAAACTGTGACTATTTTTTAATTACCACTTGTAAATCTGGCTATTTTTGAATTTCTCCCCTAAAATTCTTCATCAGGCCCACGGTAGGACCATTTCTGCTGAGTGTTGTAGTTTTGGTCCAGATAGCCATCTACTGGCAATGCACGTCGCATTATTCCTTTTCAGATTATTATTGCTTTTGGGCCTCAAGCTCTTGTTGGAAATAGCCTACTATAAAATATGTAATTATTGTATAAAATATGTGTATTTATTAGCTGTTATAAATATCTTTTACCGAACGGTGAACTAGCCCCTATCATAAACAGCCCTATAAAAAGGAAATCAACCGGATCACTTGTGTAAGTAGGTAGGGATATTCATGGTTTGATTTGAGTCAATTTTTCCTTTAGAGGAAAGACCAAAGCACCTTTCGATTATCTAAATCTGTAAAAGTAGTCAATCCAAATATAGAATTGGTTTTCTCAATTTTTTTTTTGTCGGTTTCCCCATTTTTTCAGTGATTTTGAATTTCTTTTGTTGCCATATGCAATTTTACATTGTCGGAAAACTTACATTGTCAATTTTTTATAAAAGATTTTTTAATATTTCAAGATCTATTGCTTCTTAAATTCAAAAATTGTAAAGGGACATGATGTATAAATAACACGCTTTTGCTTTTTCTTCGGATCAAGTGAAATTGAAAATGGAAATCCCATTACTAGATTTTCCTTTTAATTTTAAAGATATAATTGGCAAAGGTAGCTGGTTATACAAATGAATAACAGAGCTCTCTCTCCACAGCGGCACTTCGACACGTATAATAAAGAAAAATTAACCCAAATGGCCGCTTACTCTATCAATTAAATTAAAAATAGCCGGTGATTGGATAATATATACATAATTTATGTATTATATTATATAATTATATATAATCAATATATAATTTATGTATATGATAAAAAAATAAACAATTAATATGACCAGCTATTTGCGTAAAGATCGTGCTTTAGAAGTATGTAATGAGAAATTAATTTTCGTCAATGCACATAGCTTTTGTGATGATTGATATTGCAAAAATAGAAAGGAAAAGAAAAAAACTTTACAGTTAGTTGATTAGAACATAGAGTGATTGATCATTATAGTAGTCTTTCAGACATAATCATTCTCTTCAAGAAGCTTGGACTTACTTTTGCTGCCTAACAAGCATAACAGCTATTTCAAATTTAAGTACGTTGCCTTTACTTTATTAATCGGGGATTACTTAATTAATCGGGAAGTAAGAAAATTTAATAACAATAGTTGAATTGTGGTGGCAAAACCAAATATTTTGGTAAGAGTATATAAAAGTGTCCAAAATTTCGATATATACGATAATAGGTAATATTGACCAATAATAATTTTTTCGATAAAGAGTATTTAATTGATCACCCTAAATTACTCTCCTAATTAGAAGATCATTAGAATTCAACTTCATAATTTATTACAACTTGAATTGTAATATCCTAGTTAGTACACCATTTCTTGAAGTAAATTTGTGCCTTTTGGCAGAGTCCCCACCTCTAACCTCCCATGGCTACAACTAGCACTAGAAGATTAGAGATGTACAGGCACCAGTTCATTTAGTCGATGAAATTGCAGTTGGTTATGATAATTATACCGTTCCATACTAATTTTCAACTTTAAGTGCAAATTTGTCAACAAAATGATCGAAAACCATTCACTTTTTTTTTAAAAGAATTCCTCTTTTATATTTAAAGTGAAAAAAAAGAAGGATTGAGTTTGTTGAAGTAATTAATATATAAGGTCTTCTTAGTTTTCGCTTCAATAATGCTTTATTTTAAATTATCTGTGCGGCTAATGGGGGTCACTAATTCGCCCCAAGACACACAAATCATGGTTAAGATAATTGTCATTTACTGATATACGCGGCGGAATTAACAAAAAGTTTGCTTACGATTTTTGTTTTACCCAGTTTTTCAATTCTAAAGCACCATTGTCATTTTCTCTTTGTTGTCCCGATTTAAATAAATACCATAATGTTCTTCCTTTTTTCTTTGTTTAATAAATAGTGGAATAAAATGTTCATCCTTTTTTCTTTGTTTAATAAAATTGGTCGGTGTTATAGACTTGCTTTTTAGAAAAACTTGACCATGTAATGATGAAGTACCTAATTTTAAAATTTTGATATCTTTCTTTTCGTTAAGATTATTGCCCCATCTTTGTTGTCACTGCTCAACTTTTGTTAAAGGAAGTTGGTACAAAGACTTTTTAAGGACTCCAAAATGTATACTTTCCTGCTACAGTTTGAAAAATTATAAGATGAAAGAGGAAAAGTTAAAATAGTATGCGATAATTATATTGGTACTAGTTTATTATTTTCCAACATAGTGGCAATAGGTACAATCTACTAATCAAGATTCAGGATAAGAATCATATCTTAATCAGTACTTCACTTTTTATATCCACAGAAAAATTCTTAACAAAAGTGGGATTGCATCACTTTGTCATGTTAAAAAGCCAGAAATTGAGGAGAGTTTAAAGGATTTTATCATCTTAATAAGGTTATCGTAAGTGGATCTTAGGAATTTTAACAGTTTTAACGAATAAATAATTTTTTTGCCATTAGTTAGGATAATAATATTTTTATCATATTTATACCACACCAACACCAACTGTTATAAATTTACACCCTATAACATACGCTAGTAGGGAGAATACCAACATTTAAGTTAGAAAACCTAGCCATTGATGGAATTTGAACCTCAATTTTGATAAATAGCATGATTTGCTTATAGTAAAGTAATATTTGGCTATACTTATTTTTGTGGTCTCTAAAAAGAAAATAAAGTTGAAATTCTCACTCAGATATCATTTTTGAACCTTAAAATCTGTTAGTGGGAATACTTATTTCTTCGTATAATCCACAAGAAATACTAGCCAAATCAATGATTCTCCATTATTTAAATTGTCGAATACGACAAAAATAAAATAAAATTGATAGGGCATATTGGCGTAACATACCTTTCTAATGGTAGCTTGCGAGTTACGATATTCTATCACTTATTGCCCAGTATTCGGACTTATCTTGCTTTATATCTGCTTGTAGAACTTACTTATCTTCCTTTATTACTGTTAGTAGACTGTAATCAAAACAGGAAAAAATCAGAAGAGCAGAAGTTAAAACAGAAAGAAAAAATATTCCGAGCCCACAAATTTTCTCTGTCCTTAAAAAATCTAATATCTTCACAGTTATTTAAGGTATTTAGATTAATTTCTCTCAGGATAGAACGAAAAACTATTCTATAATGACAGCACTTCAAATTACATAATTTCGGTGAATTCAAATGATAAATCACATAAATATAAAAAAACTTTTGGAATTTCAGTTGTGAAAATCTGAAATAATGCTTTGTATTTATAGGTGAAAGGATTAGATGAAGAGATACAATCA